GGTTTTTGAAAATGTTTGCACAGAAGGAACGAGTTTATCATGATCTATTAGATCTACAAATTTTGGGTGAACAAATTACAGAACCAAAAAATACCACACAATACCATATAATACCACCCTGGTACGAGGTGGTATCTTGTGGTACACAATGTTAAAAGTCGTAAATGATAGTTAATATACTTCTACTATCATGTATTCAACCTTCCTACAGTCTTGGTTTGTTCATACCACCATGGTACGCTTTTCAAACCGTAGGTATGCTCTTATTTCAATACCAGTCAATTCCATAGGGTATAGACTGGTAAAAAATGGCTCAATTTTTTTTTGTTCGAAAAATATATAAAAGTGGATATCATTTTGAAGAGCACAATTAATCTGATCTAACTGTGCAAAAAAAAATTAAATTTCGACTTAAAACGAGTGAGAAATCGTTGGGATTTTTCCAGAAATAGCACCTTTTAAAAAAAAGTACAAAAATAGCACCCAATCCATAGAAATTACAAAAATAACAACCTTTTCTTGGCCAAAACCGCATCTTGGCCATGCGGTTTGTGTGTCTGACCTAACCAAACCGCATGGCCCAGATGCGTTCTTGTCCTGACCTAGCAAAACCGCACTTTGGAGATGCGGTTTTGCTTCTCCAAAACAAACCGCACCCTCAAAGTGCGGTTTTGGCAACACAAACCGCAACCCCCCCCCCCCCCCCCCCCATGCGGTTTGTGTGTCAATTATTTTCCGACACCAAACATGTAGCCATGCAGTTTGACAAACGTGTGGTTGCATGGCAGATGAAAACCGCACCTCTAAGGTGCGGTTTTCATTCATGATTTTGCCTATAAAAGACAGCCCGGGAAATCTCTTCTCTTCACACCTCTCCTTCTCCCTTTTCAATTTTCTGTTGTAGCTCCCTATTTCTCTAGTGTTTTTGTGGTTAATGTTAACTCGTAAGTTTAATTTATATTATTTTTATTGTGAATTGTGATTTTTATGATGTTAGTTGAACTACTGTTTTTTTTCAGATGGCATTCCAAAAGTTCACGCTTGGGTTACGTTGGAAAGGTTACACGGGAGAGAGCGGAAAGGGGTTCACCTACGTCGGTGGCAATTTTCAGAAAAGAAAGGTCGCTACCAGACCGATGCTTGAAGACCTCTATCAAATGTGTACTAACGTTACTTGCATGGATGGCAGCAGAAGAGTTGATCGTATGGTGTACCAATATCCAAACAGAGAAAGCGGGTCGTTGTGGCACGAGGAATATCTCATAACCACTCAGGATGAGGTAGATGCCATGCTCGAATTCTTGAGGTCCAACAATCTTTCCAAAGCCGAAATGTTCGTTTACACTGAGTCGGTCGTAGGCGTTGGAGGTCATTCTGGAGACGGTCAAACATCTAGTATCCATGGTGGAGATGAATTATATGGAGATCATCCCTACCAATGTTACCGTGATCCTCATTCCTATTTTCAGTACCAAGAGTAAGGTGAAGGTCATCATCAATCTTTCCCGCCATATGAAGAAGAAGTTCAACCAGACCATGCCAACCAACCCCAGTACAACTTCCAATCAGGCAGCGGTAGTTTTCACAACTACCATTATGGAGCTGATGAAGGTGCCTTTCATAAGCTGGATCAGATGGAAGATGCCCTGCTAGCACCAGTCAGTGACCCCTCCGATGAAGAAGGAGAGAACAACGTCAGTGCAGACAGCTCCGACCCTCTTGAAGGTGCTGATGATTCAGGACCAGAGTCAGACTCAGATAATGATGATGAGGTGGCTCATGACGTGTATCAGTCCCCTACTACAACCACATTTCAGACGGCAATTGGATGGTCGACAGCGACATAGAACCCCCGGAGGTTCCAGTATGGGGTCCACTCACTGGGTTTATGAAGGGCCAACAATTTGGCTCGAAGAAGGAGATGCAACACGCCATTGATACTGAAGCAATGACTCGGCATTTTGAATGGCACACAACTCATTCCAACACGAAAAGGCTCATAGTCAGATGTCGTAATCATAACGAGGGATGCAATGTTAGGATTCGGGCCATAAACAGCAAGAGACACGACCATTGGGTCATATCCCGTGCGGTGAACACACACATGTGTGTCATCCATAACATCCCAAGGCCATCGACAGTTGAAATCCAGGATGGTTGCTGCGGCCAAAGTAGTTAAAATCAGGATTTTACATAAAATCAAAAACTGGGGTAAAATCGAAATCGTAAAATCGAAATCGTATAATCGTTGGATTTTAAGTACCATATAGAAATTAACATATAATAATATTAATAAGGTAAATAATTATTAGCACAAAGCCTTTTAACATTTAAAGTGATAATTTTCAAGATTAATGTTCCAAAATCATCATTTTAATTGTTATTTAATGCGTAACTCAAAATAATTTATGAGGAAGGGACAGAGCTCATGGGGTTTGGATCTTGTTTTTCATGTTGTGTCTAGGTAGTTTAACTCAAAGTAGTATTCCGACATCGTCTACTAAGCATGATTTAAAACTAAGAATAACTGAAATCCAATAAAATAATTAACTTCATTGGTATGGTACAAATATATTCATTAATCAAATAATTTGTTAATAATGATGTTAATTCTTACGCACTTACAATATTCTGACAATTGTTTTACCGATGAGTTAAACAAGGAGAAGGGAAAGGGGTTGACCGAACCATAATTACTTTTTTACTTCTTTTCAAATGTTCTTTTAATAGAAAAAATATATGAGAAGATCCCCGTCATTGCCCTTTCCACCGAAACTGTTCTGCTTCTTTTGAATTGGCTCAAGCTCCCTATTTTGTTCACATAGGATCAAAATCCCGATTTTGGTACAATTTTACGATTCTAACAATTTTAATCCCAATTTTAAACTATTTTAAGGTCCACCGATTTTATAGTAAAATCAGGATCGGAATCCCTAAGCAAAATCCAAAAATCCTACGATTTTACGATCAAAATCCCGATTTTGACTGCATTGGCTGCGGCTATCAAACATCTAATTGAGCAAGATCCTGACCTGAAGGTGAAAGTCATAATCGCTGACATTGCAAATCGTTAAAGTTATATGATTAACTATAAGAAGGCGTGGCATGGAAAGCAGAAAGCTCTGGCTGCCGTATTTGGTGATTGGGAAGAATCATATGCATTCCTTCCCAGGTTTATTTTGGCATTGGAGGCGTCTAACCCTGGCACTGTTTTCTCCCCTCGATGCCAAGATGAAGAGATACAACCGCCAGAGCCAGGTAACAAACGCCATTTCAGACGACTTTTTTTGGCATTCAAGCCATCTATTGATGGTTTTGGCTTCTGTTTCCCTGTGATCCAAGTGGATGGTACATTCCTTACCGACAAGTACAAGGGCACTCTACCGATTTCCAGTGGGGCGGATGCAAACATACAAGTCTTTCTGTTAGCCTTCGCAATTGTTGAGGGAGATAATACTGATAGCTATGGATGATTTTTCCGGCAAATTCAGCTCGACGTCACTAGGAGGACGAACCTGACAATAATCTCTGATCGGCACGCCGGGATTAGAGCTGCCATCTTAGGTTTGGATCCAGCCTGGAAGTGGTCCCAAAGGTAGTGCTTACGACACTTCAAGAGCAACTAGAACCATCATTTCAAGCGGAAGAAGCTTGCTGATAATTTGTGGTAGATTTGTAAGCTCTCTATTGGTTGTTTAATTTTGTCTGATAACAATATCTTATATCAAATAAATGGTACACTTGTTAGAATCTTTCTAAAGAGATGCATGCCTAAGGAAATGAGGTTTTAAGCGATAATCATGGTCCTCCCATTTCTTGGGAAAATCGGGTTTTAAGCGATCATCGGATCCCCCATTTTTCTGTCAATCAGACTGTGTTTCTAAGGAGATGTATACCTCTCTTAAGAGTCTAACGAGAGTACCTGCTGGTTGTTCGAATTATACTAAATTGCCGAATTATGACTAACATAATACTTGATTGTGATTACTTCATCTGTTGCATACCAAGAGAAAAAATTCCATTGGAAGTTGCAGAAAATGCGCGAGTTATGCCCTGAAGGGCACAGTGGCTGGATGGACAAGACCTATCCATGTGTACATTTCATAAAGACGGAGGTACAAGATGGGGTATGGCCACAACGAACTCAAGTGAGAGTATCAATTCTGCCCACAAGGGTGTTCGGGCGCTCCCAATCTCTGCCAATGTGGAAATGACTTTCTGGAAAACGAATGGATGTTTTGTTAATCGACTACACTGGGCAAGGACGAACGAGGAACAGGAAAGGTTCATGCCAATAAAGTCACAGAAATACTGGAGCATGACAATAACAAGAGTAGTCGACACAGTGTAACCGTTATGAATCGGGCAACTAGCAAGTTTAGCGTGACGACTGGACACCGTGAGGATGGTAGACGTGGGGGCCATCACCATGAAGTTTTGGTAAATTTTAGGACAAAACTTGGTGAGTGCTCATGCCAGAAGTATCAGGGGAGAGGGGGGTCATGTTCTCATGCAATGGCTGTAATTAAAAACAGGAGCAAAGACCCCAACACTTCGTTAGTCCAATCTTCAATATCGACTCACTCAAAAATTGCTATGGACGGAGTTTTCGTGCATTGCCTGATGAAGCTTATTGGCCAGTGTACTCAGGAAAGTTGATCATTCCGCCGTTCGGACAGAGGCGTGAACCGAGTCGACCGAGAAAAAAGAGAATTCAGAACGAAATGGATCAAAGTGGAAGACCACCACGAGGCCCAAGATGATGTTCAGTATGCAGAGTTCCAGGGCATGATAAACGAATTTTTCCAGGTCCGATTGGTCTGCAAAATCCGGGTCCTGATGTGGGGGACTCAGCTAATGCGACATAGTTTGCGGGGTTCATTTGTTGGTACTTGTTATGTATGTTTTCAATTATTGTAGGAGTTAGGGCTATGATGATTGGAATTTTCGTGTTTGGAAAATAACCCTCAATTAACACTCAAGCCTTAAGTTAACACGATCAAAATAGAGAAAGCCAAGTACTTAGAACTAAAATAAAAACAAAAATAACACTTAATTAAATTAACTGAAATAGGTACATATAATTAAAACATAACTAAAAACAACCCTTAAAATGATAAAACTAAAAATACATATCAAAGAAGTCCCTGGGACTCATGGGGCTTCAAGGTTTTCTTGCTCCTTGTACGACGACCGACGGGAGTAACCATCGGGGGTTACGGTGGCAAGCTTCGATGGGCCATGCTAGGGCGCTCGTCGGTACTGTGTCGGCTTCGATCCGTGGTAGGCGGCGCTTCCGGGGTCGAGCGGGGGACATCCACGCTCATACGGTGAGGGGTAGGAGGCCACGGCTGATGAGGGCGAGGAATAGGATTGAAGTCGCGATGTGCAATCGTGGAGGAACCATCATGCCAAGTACCGGAGGATGTGGGGGGTTCGTTGAAGAAGTTTGGGCGGGGATCTTGGGGGTAGATCGGCCGAGGATCATAGTATGGTGGGTGAGGATCATAGTATGGTGGGCGGGGATCTTGGTATGAGATCGGGCAGGGATCATATGGGGATTGATGGTAGCTCGGAGGGGGTTGATGGTAGCTTGGGCGGGGATCATAGTATGTAGGAATGGCAATGGGGCAGGTCCGGGGCGGGTATCTCGATACCCATACCCGCCTCATGGCAGGTCGGGTCCAGGTCGGGTAATTTATCACGGGGCGCGGGTCGGGGCAGGTCGACCCATTGGGTATGTAATTTATGCGAAAAACATTAGAAACATTCGTTATTTTCATTAAAAGACCAAGAAAGAAACCATAATATGATAAAATGTAGTTAAATTATTGAAGAAATTGAGGTTTTCACTTATTTACAACTTTATTATAGCTAAAATCTAATGTAATAAGAGGAAAATCCTAAATAATTTGACTAATATTATATGTAATAATGGCAAGAACGGGTCGAGAATGGGGCGGGTCAGGGCAGGTCGGGTCGATGAGAGGTACCCATGCCCGCCCCGGCCCGCCTACGGGGCGGATTTGACCTGCCCCAAAACAGGTCAAACAGGTCGGGTAAATCGGGTCAGGTCGAAATTGCCATCCCTAATAGTATGAGCTCGGGGTGGGGATCATGATGGTGGCTCGGAGGGGATTGACGGTGGCTCGGGCGGGGATCTTGGGAATGGCTCGGGCGGGGTTCTTGGGAGTGGCTCGGGAGGGGATCTTGATGTGAGCTCGGACCGCCACCGTGTGCCACAACCAAGGGGGTCGGCACTCTCCACGCCTTCAACAGTCTTATCTATGACACATGAGGTTTTTCCCGTACCTTCTTGCTTTTCTTTCTCTCGTATGGTGGTGGGGGTGGGGGACATCAACTTGTACAGGAGGTGGCACCGGTGCGGGCATGTGTGGGTATTTACGATGATCATGACCTTGTGTTCTAATACAGCCAAACAGACTGTTTGTCATCCTCTTGATGAATGTCACGTCTTCACTGCCCATTTCATGTTTCCCATGGGTCAAATCTTTGATTCGCTCGATCCCATCAGTCTAAATCACATAAAATGGTGAGCAAGATAAGACTAATGATACCACAGAATGAAACAAGCAATAAATTTAATCTTATTAGACGGAATATACTTATCAATGCACCATCGGCCGCACCCTCCGGAGTAACGTACCGAACCGATGTTTGCCGATATCTATCCATGTATGGGTCATGATACCCCATTCGACCCACATTTGTTGGAGTGACAATATCCTTAAGCTGTCGGTTCTCCCATATCGCGATCATTTCCGCCAACTTCGTGGGCCAATCGTGAGTACCTTGCCGACCATCTCGGTGGTGAAACGCCCTTTGACTCTCGGGGACCTCCAACGGAATGCGCTGCTCCCGACCAAACTGACGAATGCATCGATCCGGCAGGTGCCATTCCACGGTCCCTAAACAAATGAGAGGAACCCTCGTGCACCATTGTCTGATATTCTCGGGGAATTGCAGTAGATGCCAATGAACGATGTTCGTCGGGTATGGATCGAATTTGATCTACGAAAACAAAATTAGTAACTTAAGTTAAATCCGATTGGAAAAATACATGTACTCCATGAAAAAAAATTATAGCACTTATAAGTATTCTAGTTACCTCTCCTTCCCAATGTCGCTCTAGCCTCCTCCGATACTCTACCAACTTGTGTTGGGCAAGGTTGTCGCATGTTGAGGCTCCAACCCACCTTATTAATAAGACAATAATATAAATACAATAAGCTAAAACATAAGGAAAATTGTGTTATTAAAATCATGATGGGGTATGAGAAATTTACCTACAACCATAAGATTAGAGTCTTAGGGGATGATCGGGACCCCAGTTCCTGTCGGGACATTGGAGCGGTGCAATCCATGGCAGATGCTCCCAAGCCCAAAATTGGACGATGAACATTGCGCCGCCGACCTCCCTCGCAACATTGATAGATTCATTGCACAAATGATGGTAGATATTAGCTAGGAAAGCGGATGCCCAGCTCAACTCCCCCATCGCATCCCAACTACCAAGTAGGATCCTTAGCCATCCACAACTAATTAAATTGCTCGATTTTTTGGAGAAGAACACTCCTCCTATCATGCCTATGAGATAGACATGAGCATATCTTTCCTTCTCTAGCTTCGGACTTTCCTCAATGGTGGCAAGCGATCCGTTGGTGGCAACGTCCTTGAGTGTGGACTCTCAATGGTGGCAAGCGATCCGTTGCATCAACGCTCCCCTTGGTTGGTACTTTCACCCCCAAAATATTGTGGATGAAATACTGCCAACCGGTCATACCGTCACGATCCTCGGGGGGATGATCACTCACACACACCGCTTTGCCGTTGATGGGCAGATGAGTTAGGATGGCGACGTCCTTGAGTGTGATGGTGCACTCTCCTTCGCGAAAGATGAAACAATGTGTCTCCTTTCTCATTCTCTCCACCAATGCGGTGATGAGTTGGCGATCGATTTTTATGCCTACAAAATGCCTAATCGACTCCAACCGTGCCCTTTTGGGAAAGGGCAAGATAACTTGGTTCTATGGGAGCACATTGGTCTTACCCCTGTAGCAGAGTATTTGTTGTGCCTCCTAGCAAAAATTTCAACGTTATTTATGATATATTAGTAACATTTTAGTATTTTAACTAAATTGATTAAAATTAATGATTGAATTTCGACCATAATTCTATTATAATTATATTATTAACAATCAAATTTAAGTAATTTGCGGTTTTTCCAAGATATATACATATTATCATAAAACAAACATACTAAATTAATTGACATAAATAACATTCTAAATGAATAATAATTTAAAGAGATTCATACATATTCAAACATTTGAAATTAATAAAATTCATTTAAGTACACATAAACATAAATCGTATTGGTTGTTTGGTAAGTAATTTAATTGTATTGGTTGTTTTAAATAATTTAATCGAATACAATGCAACACTCGTTAGACTCTTAGGAGAGGTATACATCTTCTTAGAAACGCAGCTTTTTTGACAGAAAAGGGGGGGATCCGAGGATCTCTTAATACCCGATTTTCCCAGAAAATTGGAGGATCAGGATAATCGCTTAAAACCCCATTTCCTTATACGTGCATCTCTTTATAAAAAGTCGAAGTAAGTTGCGCTATGTAATCAATTAAATTATTGAAAACAACCAATACGATTAAATTATTTCAAATTTATTTTATATTTCACTAAGTACATTAGCAAAATAAAAGAAAGATAAATGATGAAGAATTGTATGTACCAGGTGATCGTTCCAAACATCCCTTGAACAATGGTTGGGTTGGTCGTACAAGTCGGTTAGATCAATAGGACCTTGATCCAAATAGTACCGTTGGTTGTATATGTCCACGTCGTCCCCAACCTACGAGAGAATAACAACAAGGTTAGTACATAGATTAATTAAAAAGCTTATAACAAAAACAAAAATTGAACAGAACAATGACTACGTACCGCTTGAAATTTATCATAATAAACTCCCTCTCCTTGGAACCACTCGTCCATTTTTTCTCGAAAGTCGGACAGAAATTCGACGGGTTTTGAGGGAAAACCAAAGAAATGTTTTCTGGTGGCAGATCGGACTTAGCCGCAACCAACATACCACTATTTCCTATGCTTTTGGGAGGGGAGGGGTTAGAGAGATAATTTTAGAGAGAGAGAGAGTGAAGAATGGGTTGTGGTGTGAAAAGAAAAATGAGAGGGGGGAGGGGTATTTATACTCTTCAGATCGCACCCTTCAGGGGAGGTCTGGTAAATTTATCCTCCTTGAAACTGCTCCCTTACAATGCGGTCTGTTTTTTCCAAGGCACTGACCGCACCCTACAGCAGCGGTCTGCGATCCATGGCGCGGATCGCTGAGGTGGCGTGTGCTATGCCGCTGGATCGCCGCCTGATCCTGCGGTCTCCAAGCCCGCTCCCGAGGAAACACAGACCGCACCTTGGAGGTCGGTTCCCAATCTGGCGTGGCGCAAAACGCACCTCCAAGGTGTGGTTTATACATAAAACGCACCTGGAGGGTGCGGTTTAATTATAAAACGCACCTTGGAGGTGCGGTTTGAAATAAATGGTGCTAGTTTTGTAAATTTTGTGGGTTGGATGCTTTGTTTGTAATTTTTTTAATAGGTGCTATTATTGGAAAAATCTCTACTTCTCATAACACATACGTAATCAACCTTTAGGATAAAACAAAATGTCTCTCATAAAGTTTAGTATGTACTTTAAGTTTTTCCCAATATAGAGAATTCTATATTACCGTACTCTTGGTAATGAATCTGAAGTTGCTTGATTTAAAATATATAAGACATGATGCTAACTTGTCGCTAACCCCAATGTGTTGTGTACGGACTTACCAAATTATTCTCAAATTGCAGACATCTCTAGCAACAATGTAGTAATTTTCATGCGACAAATATTTTTTTTCATGAAATAATTCAATAAATAAAAACCTATAAAATTCATATTACATGAAATATATGTTACTCATTAAGTTGATGAATGAGCGAGTGTATGAGAAGCATACATTTATTTTAAAAATATAAAAGTTGTAAAACGTCTTTTGTGTGGAATGGGATCACATATTCTCATTCTCACCAACTGACTTATGCTTTTTTGCAATAAATAGTACACAATGTGCCTTAAAACTTTTGTTTTCACCCGTGTAAAAGAAGTGTTGGAACCAAAAGATTGTAAAATCGTCTCCAAAAAGTTGATAGTAGAGTATTTTATACTGAAATCATAATTTAACTGTGGTTCAAATGTTTCATATTGCTAAATATCACCTATCGATTTAGCCTATGGTGTGAAGTTTTATTGTCGAACCGCAGGTATGTACGATCTTTCAATTCAAACGTTAAACAAAAAACCACTAAACTATTGACATTATCAAATAACCCTTAAACCTAAGAAATTACCATAATCATATTAAGGAAAAAATCATCCAAATTATAATATAGATTTAGGATTTGAAATTGAAATGGAAATTTTTTGTCAAATATAATGTCTTCTCCTAACATAAATCAAAACCCAACAGAAGATGGCCAAGAATACTCTCTAAGCAAAGCAGAAGGGCAATTATTTCACAATATCTCATCCCCCTTAAGTGTGTTCTCTCACTCTCTCTTAGTCTTCTTCTTTGTTTTTCCGTTTGTTCTTCCATTTCTCTCTATGAGCTTTGTATCTCACACTCTCCCCATATCCCTTCCTCTTTCTTCCCACCGCCTAGAATCGATAGAAACCTAGAGACATCCCAATTACTTCACCAGTTTTGAGTTTGAAATGCTTCTTCTCTATTCACATTCGATAGTGTGAATCAACGCACCTAAAACATGGCGAACAGATGGCCGCTTATTCCTTGACGGAGCAAAGTAGTTTGATAGCTTGTGAATAAACTAATTACTAAAAGTGAAAAAAAAACAGAAATTGTTAAACCAATCGAGTGAGTGTATAGTTAGTTCATCGCTTAGACCATTTTATTTATCTAAAGAATCAAAATGCATAATCAGGTTCATCTTCACTTATTTACATGTATTTGTCGTACAAATTCATTACACATAAAAAATGGTTTAGAATCTGCATATCAAACTAAATCTCATCTTATGATTATTGGATCCATATTAGATTAGCAAAAGGTCTAAGGCTATTGGTCAACTGGGGTGAAAATGAATACTAATTTAAGAATTATATATCACTTCCAAATGTTCAATACTCCAATTCAATATGCAATATTCAAACAAATGATATATGAGTTTCAAGCCTTTATCAAAAAAATTAGACCAAAAAAGTCTCCCCTCCCCCAAACACACACACATTTACAAAGAAATTCTAAATCACAATTTCTTCTTCACTTTACATGCTTATAAAGTTATTGTTGACGTTGTTTGTTATTATTGCAAGCTGTAAAAAAGACTTTTCAGCTATGAAGTTAATCAATAATGATTTTATAAATGAGTGTTTAGTTGTATACATTGAAAATGTATGAGTCTCAAAATAAACAATTAATGTATTTTATAGACCTTTTAGAATCTGAGCCGTCACACTTTGATGTGAAAAACTACTCATTAATTCAAATTTTATATGTTCTTTTTAGAATATTTTATTTTATTTTTATCAAATGGCGCATTTCTCCATAAAATATGAGTTCACCAGACGCGATCCCTAGTAGTTTAAGTCTGGTATGACCAGTGAAGCATTAATGCTTGTACATGGCTGATCCATATACATTGTCTTCATGGTATGCTCTAACTGTGTCATGCTAGCTCAACCATGTGTCTGGTATAGTTATATGCATTATAATAAATAAGTTTCTACCTATTCACAACACCAAGACAAAAAAAAAGTCATAAATGCATCTAGTATTCGATTTTGACTACATGATAAAATACTACATTTGAACCAACAACCACTGATGTCACAAATAATAAGTATACCTCTATGTTAGTGTGTGGTATATAATCCACGATTGAACCTCTCCCAACAACTCAAGTTATTGGGAGCAACTGGTTCTTGACATGGTATCAGAGCTTTATGTGATCAAAAGATCTTGTGTTCGAATCCTAGTAACCCCCATTTGTTAAGCACATGGTATGTGGACCTGTGCAAACTTCAAACCGTTGTGAGTGGCTTGTTTGAGGGGGCGTTTTAGTGTGTGGTATATGATCCACGATTGAACCTCTCCCAACAACTCGAGTTATTGGGAGCAACTGGTTATTGACACTCTAAATCATACATAAAATATTTCATACATCACAAATATTAAGATTAAATTAATTATTATAAAGAGTAAAAATTGTATAATGAGGTTAATTATAACTCATTTATATGTTAATGTCCTTAAATTGATCAACACATCCAAAAATGGTGAAATGAACATTACATTAAATCCAATATCGTCTCATTATTGTTGGGTCCATTCATGCCAGATTAGCAAGAGGTTTAACTTTTAGCAGTTAACCAAGCTAAAATTTATAGAACCAATCACATATAGTTTGTACAAAATATTATTGTTTCGTAGTAGTTCTGAAAATATACATTAATTTAAAGAATTCTACATCGCTTTGCATATTGAATACTGCAATTCGATATGCAATATTTCAAGCATTGAAATTTGTGTTGCAATTTTAAGATTACCCGTCATTTTATAGGTTATAAAAAATTATAAATCACGTATTGAACTTTGCTTGTCAGAAGATTTAATAGGCTAGCTAACCGTAATGGAAAATACCTCTGCTTTTCAAATCTTCGCTTAGTGTATGTTTACAATTTAAGAAGATAAAAAAATTTGTTTAGTGTAATTGGTTGTAACTATTGTTTTTGTTTAAAGATACCATGGTTCACATCTTGATATTGATAATTTTTTTATAGGAAGTAGATAAATAATTGTGATGACAAAAATATTTTTCTTACTTTCACTCTCGTTTCACGATTTTGAAATGGAAAATCTTAAAACATTGAATATATAACGAACAAGGGCTGGTCTAGTGGTAATACCACTAGCCTAGAACCTGGAGGTCCCAGGTTCTAATCCCTTAAATAGTACCTTAATCACAAAAAAGAAACATATATCACCCTTATAAAAAAAACATTGAATCTATATTATATAAAGAGCTTCTTCAACCAAGTAGGAAATGTATTTTACTTGAAATTATTATATCTTATAGAAAGTGATTAATTGTGAAATCGAAACTCAAGTAACATTGATTCAAACATTAAACATTAAATTGTATGTGTAGTTCAGTTTAGACAAAATACATGTGTGTAGCCAAAACATAGATCTTTGTGACAAATATAGTAATTTTTTGTGACAAATATACACATAAATATTAAGATAAATTGGGCACTATGACAAAAAAGAAGTTCGTAGAATCACTCTCAAGCCACGAAATTTGAAATGGGGCTCTCATTTTCCAATTTTATCATTATATTATGTAAATTTGTCACAAAAAATTACTATACTCGTCACAAAGGTCCATGTTTTGGTTACACTGCTGTATTTTGTCTAAACTAAACTGTACATACAATTTCATATTAATGTTTGAATCAATGTTACTTAAGTTTAGATTTCAGAATTAATCTCTTTCTATAAAATATAAATAACTTAAGATAAAATATAAATATAGAAGCATCATCACCAAACATATTCCTAGAATTTAATCAAAGAAACAACAATAAATATAATGTAGCCTAGTTGGTTATAATGCTCTTTCTTCATTTACGTGATCAAGGTTCGAACTCCAATGATAACATTTTTAATACATAAAGATGAATTGGGTGCAATGAGAAAAATGATCTTCCTAGAATCATGGTAAAGGAAACCGTACCGGATATCATATCGAATTCCTTCTGGTAGGGTATTTTGTGGTACGACCGTGGTTCAACCATTTCGTACCGGTAAATACCGTTTTTGTAATAATAAAATATATTTTTTATCAAAAAACCGTGCCGACAAAATTAGGGTACCGTATCGGAGTAGTACCGGATGTATCGGAATATACCAGACAATAAATACAACTAAATTAATAAAAACAAAAGAAAATTTAAACAATATTTACTTTTTATGAAAAACAAATCCCATCATTTATTAACTTCCTCGGTTAAAGCGTGCACCTTTTCCCTTCCCCCATCTTCCATTCTGCCTCTCTCTCTCTCTCTCTCTCTCTCTCTCACTCACTGCGCTCAAAACCAAATCTCACCGCAAACCTTTTCCCTTCCCCCATCTTCCATTCGGTCTCTCTCTCTCTCTCTCTCTCTCTCTCTCTCTCAAAACCAAATCTCACCGCAAACCTTTTCCCTTCCCCCATCAAATTTCATCGCAAACCCAATCTCACCGCCACCCCCCGCGCTCAAAGCCAAATCAATGGCACTCCCTAATCGGAAACTCTCGTCTCTTCGCCGGTTACCTCGCTGATCTCTCCAATCGTAGCCTTGTGGGTCGCTAGTTGCCACTCTCCACTCACCAGAGGAGAAGAGAAGAGGAGCGGCGGAGCGTTGCATGGATCGGCTAGATCTTTTGCCGGTCGCCTCGTTGATCTCTTCGATCGTGGGTCGTCAGTTGCCACTAGCCACAGGAGAAGAGAAGAGGAGAGGATGGGCTAGGCTGGGCGAGGCTGGAGAAGAGAACAGGAGCGCCTGGGGTTGGGAGAGGTTCAGAAAACTCGACCGGCATTCACTCATTTGATTAGAGATTAGGGTTTTGTTTTGGGCGTTTGTTGATTGGACGCAGGTTATCTTTTTTTTTTTTGTTATGTAAAACAACAACGTTTTTATTGGATATAGGCTACCGTCGGTTAGAACAAAATCGGGCGATTTCTCGCTTTGTGCCGGTTAACCCAGAAAACCGACCGACACGGTAAAAAGGCTCATAACAGCCTACCGTTTCGTTTTTTGTCCAATTCTCGGTTGAACCGGACGGTACGATCCGGTTTCCTGGTCCATGCCTAGAATCACTCTCAGACCACGGAATTTGAAATAGGACAATTCCAACTCATGTTTTGCCTTTATATATCTTGTAGATGTGTTGATTCAACTACCCACATAATGGCACATGTTATGTGTATTTGGAAGCTAAATCTTGTGTTGACATGCCATAAATATGCGATTTACGGTCCAGGCCGAGAGGTTAGAGTATATACCACAGACCAGACTACAAACTATACGGTCCAGACCAGACCACATCTGTGCAGTCTGGTCCGGTGCAGTTTGGTCCAGATAGACCATAGTGAACGAAAAATGACAATTTAATGAGTCAACTACACAAAAAAATTGAACCACTAGCCAAGTAAAAAATGTTTTATTTCCTTAAAACTTAAATTCCTACATGCGTGGATAATTTTGACACCATAAATCTCAGTAAATAATAAAGATACACAAAAACTAAGGAATTGGAATTCCGTTTCTAATTCCATTTCATATTTTATGTTCGGAATGATAAAATGGTTGAGAAATGAATTCCATTTGGCCTAAGTTTTGAGAATTACAATTCCTATCAAAAGTTTGATAGGGATTGAGTGTATAGAGATGGAATTAGTGGGTCCCATCAATATTTATTATTATTTTATTAACCCACTATCATCTTATACTCTTTCTCTATCCATTATATTTCATTTTCCAAGATAAAATAAACATAAACACTATTAATTATTGTTAAAAGTGTAATTCATTTCCATAGTTGTGGGAATTATACCAAATACAAAAATTGGAACTGAACTTCTATAAAACTTAGAATTGGGAATGCAATTCCATTTCCATTTCTTCTGGAATTATATCAAAACAGGCCGACAAAGTCAAAATATCCCAACTTGCAACATAACGTCATAAACATTTACATAATGTCATATGGAGACATGATCGTCTCTACTCTCTAGTGAATGTGGTGGTGAATGAAGGAGGGGACGAGATTCTCAAAATTAAGATTGAGACTTGGGTATCGTTGTGGGAGTTGAGAGAGTTGTGAAGTGGGTTGCTAACACATATTGAGAAGTCTGTTGGGTCCACGGTTTGGTCCGGTTAACCACGGTCTAGACCAGACCAGACTAAGAATTCCAAACATCATATAATACTGACAATGGACAAGACCAGACCATACTTAACAATCTATGGTCCGGCTCAAGATAGGTGCATAACCTTAGGGTGCATAACTATGAGTAACCAAATCTGAACCCTTCTTTTAAGTGGCTGCAGATCTAAGAGTGGAGAATTAAAAGAATTTATTTTCCCTAGTTTTCTTGATTGGATCATATCTTCTTCATTCTAACTCGGATTACAAAAAAAATTTGCACAGATGGAACGAGTTCGTTGTGCTCTAAAACATGATATCCATTTTCAATAACTTTTTAGAAAAAAAATTTCATACATCTCTTTACCAACTTCATACCATATGGTATCTCCTTCGTTTTTAGTCGTTTTCGGAAATTTTTGCACAAAAGGAACGATTTAATCATGATCTATTGAATTTCAAAAAATTCTTGGTGAAAATATTTCATAGCTCTCGCTACCAACTCCAAACCATACTATACCACCCTAGTATGGGGTGGTATTTTCCATACTATTGTATGCTCTTATTTAATACCAGTCAATATCATATGATATAGACTGGTAATAACTGGCAAATTTTTTTGTTCCAAAAAATATCAAAGTGGATATCATTTTGAAAAGCACAATTAATCTGACCTAACTGTGCAAAAAAAATTAAATTCCGACTTAAAACGAGTGAGAAATCATCTCTTAAAGATTAAGAGAAGGAAAATTAAAACTTTTTCTATGAGAGAGAAGGAGGCGTTGATGTGGTGGATTCTTATTGGGTTATGCATGGGGTTATTGCATCACAAGGCGACTGACTGGATTTGCTCCCCTACAGTCCGAACCAAACTGTGTGGTCCGGTTTGGACCATGGGTTTTCAAACGGTATGATCTACTTTCCCAGCCCTAGTTGATATTTAGTATACCTGGTGTACTCTTGTAGTATATCATACTTCAAGTGATCTAGTCATTAGACGTAGTTCATTGTACTTCGATGAATCACAATCGCTATATTTTTTAAAATTAATCATCAGATTTAATTTTAAAGAATCAGACCTCGTGATGTTTTTATAAGAACTTAACATATACTATCATACTTCAAATTCAGTTTAACTCGTGATCAATAAAGACATCTTATTATAAGTACTCATTATAGCACTCTGGCCCATTTATATATTGGCCAATGCTACGATGCCACTCTAAAAAGTGCGGCACATGTGCCGCTGCGTCTGATTGGGCCATGTGGAGCTTATGTGGCATGAGCTAACTTTGATTGACCCAAGCCCAAATTCCACGAGTACTGGGCACTGGAACCAACCCGCCCCTCCCATTCAAACGGAGAATCCTTCTCCGTCAAACCCTAAACGATTCCATTTTTTTGGCCAAATTGTCATTATATTTTTATTTATTAAATGTAATTAGTTTGTTTTCCAGAAGATTGAGAAAACTGAAAAACGTCGACGATGGACGAACCAACTGTTCCTCGATCTCCTTCTCCGTCGTTCTCCCAAAATCGTGCTGGTGATTTGGTAGAGGCCGATCCCATCTCCATCTCCGGTGTTCTCCCTAAATCGCGTCGGTGACTTGATCACGGCCGATCCCATCTCCATCTCCGGTGTTCTTCCAAAATCGCGCTAGTGAATTGTTTGCGGCCGATCCCATCTGCAAAATTATCCCGGTGAGTTGTTCATAGGCGAAGAAATCTGTATCTTCGCAGGCCTTTGTCACCATCGAAGAGCGCCACCACCAAACTACCGGGTCCAATTCGGAGAAGGGGAGAAACGCTACGGTGAATGATTTTATCTACACTACTTATAATTCTATCTACACTACTTATAATACATTTTAAAGAGTTTGATTTGCCCCATTTCAAATTTCCTGCAACGAGAGTGAAAGTAGGAAGGGTATTTTCGTCTACACAATCAATTTTTTATTTCATATAAAAAGATATCAATGCTAGGATTTGAACCATGGTCTCTACCACCAAAGACAAGAATTGTAACCAATTAGACTAGACACATTTGTTGTACTTTAGTAATACAAAACATAGCAGAAGTTAAAATTATGAAAACAAAGTACTTTTCTATCACGGTTAGTTAGCCCGCTAAGTCTACTGTAAGTATTTTGTGGTGTTTGATACTTTTATTTTCATATTTTAATAATTAATTTAGAATTTTTTCTAACTTATAAATGAAGGATAATCTTAAAAATCTCAACACAAATATCATTGGTTTGAATATTGCGCATTGAATTGAAGTGTTCAATGAAGTGTTCAATGACGACATAAGAACACTGGTACCATACATTTCAAGAAATATAAACATGAGAAACACCAATACCAATTATCTCGACAGTCTATGCTAAAATTCGAAATTGTTTAATCATTCAATTTGAATGATAGTTTAGTCAAATCAAACAAATAATTCACGATTGTGTATGAACAAAAATAAAAACATATTATTGTCTTATGAAAAATGTATTTATTTTAACAATCTAAAAAAACAATCAAAACTTCCATACGACCCCTTATTTCAATAATATAATTAATGAAATAATTTTTATCAGCATGATGCAATGTTCAAGCTAAGGTCCAAGTATTAATCATCAGTATAATATTCATCATAGTTAACTATTTCAATATCCACAACTAACTATTAATGGTTACTTGCTTTCTCTTAGAGAGTTTAATGTAACACTCTCATGCCTAGCTATACTCTAAGCATTTGTTTTCTTTTTCACAATATCATTTGCAGTTATTTATTAAATCAACTTTATTTCTAGCTTTCAATTCCTAATTATTCACTCTTCATACCAACTTATGGGAATGCTAAATATATTTTCCATGTCTAATCTATTAAACATAAATGTTGGTTATCACTTAAATTCAATGGTATCCATGTTAGTTTTGAAATCACCAACATATTCTCCCAATTTCTCCAAAAAGCATAATATCTTGCGATTGATATCATAGTTTCGTTAGGTAATGTTCAACAAACTCAATCAATATTTGAACTCTTCGAAATAGCTATCTACATGCGAATATGAAGTACTGAGTAGCTAAAACTCTACTTGAGTTAGTACAATCTTTTGCGCTATCGATTCCAAATTCAATACATGATTATCTCATTACAATTTAGTCATACTAATTGTGCAGTAGGGGACATCTTATCAAAATCTTAAAGAAAGACTCTTTGATTGATCGCTTTCATGATGTAATCAATTATACCAAAATAGAAGTGATCAAATTTATAAGATGCACTCAAAGTTTGCTATAATTATTGAGGTTCAGCAGCACGTTAGGGGCACAACGGTCATTGGATATTTGTCTATCTCCTAGCTCGCCTAGACATGCTTAGACATTATAATAAAAATAGCAATTTTAATAATAATGAATAAAATAACGGTTCTAAAGCACTTTCATACTTTAGTTCAAATGATTTAACAACAAACAAAATAACTCTCAAGTTTATAAATTATTTTCTTTTACCAAATGATATAATTAATTCATTTGTGAGCTGAAATCGCTAATTATAAGCGCTTCAAATTTAAGTCAAAACTCTATATGATGCAATTGTTTGACGAAATGGGTTCTATAATAGAGTGGTTCTATCAAGAGAGGTCTCTAAGAAACATGGCTTACTTTATTATTCCTTAGGTGGATATAATATCTATCTTCATCGTTACTTTTACATTAGATTCAATTTAGTATACTTTTTCATTTAGGTAGATTTTTTGATGATGTTCTGGGATGTAATATGTCATTATATATGTTGGTGTAGGATATTAATTTCTCTAATTTTAGGTTCAAATTGGTGGATTTCCCCCTTTACCGTTCCCTTTTATTGGTTAATAATTTTTATTATATTTTTCACTTTGAAATATCGTGAGCGGAATCTATACACAACAATTTGTGTTTTTCCGCTTCATCTTCTCTTGATTAGATATTGTGTTC